CTGTCCAGCGCCACAAACCTCCTGAAAGCGCGGTGCCACCACCCCCGGGAGCGGCCGGGCCCGGGCAGCCGGGGAAGGCGTCTGCCTCCGAGAGGGAGCGTGGGGGAGAAGAGGCAAAAAAGGGAGGAATTGAAGATTAATAGCAAGGCCGACATTCCTCGCCAGCAAGCGGTGCAAAACCGGGAAGTTCAGGGGTGAGTCGGGATTCCCAGCCTCACAAGGCTCCTGTGGAGGACAACAGCCAGAGCGAGACAGGGAAACGCTGAGAGACTTGAGCTACAAGTGGAGGTGGACTCTCTTTGCCTTAAGGCATCAGAAACATCAGGCAGGGTCAGCAGCAAGCAAGGCAAGGTGTGGGCTAGTGCAGCAATTAACAGGAACCACCGTCTGTCCAGTAAGGTGGGTGGTTGTCTTGCACAGCCCAATGGCCTCTGTAGTCAGTGGTATTTTCCCAAGAGCAGGCTATCTCCTCATTGCCTTCCTCTGCGTTTATATACCCCCGACAGAGACCAGCCTCCTCCCAAGACCCAGCACAGCAGTCCCCACCGTGTCCTGTTTTAGCTGACCGTATTTCTGGACTTTTCACTCTGCTCATTTTGTAGGTGGGAGAGTTAGGGATCAACCAGATTGTGGTTCAAATCTTGCTCTGAAAGGTTCTGCTCTCATATGGATGGAGCAGGAGGTAGATAATTTGATTTATTCAGATGCTTTCTGATCTCTCCTGCAGCTGTAACTATTGGTTACAAAACCATAGTTTTTATGGCAATTAATTCTCTAGCTCAGGCAAATATGACCACTTCCAAGCACTCCTGCCAAACCCCTCCCACACACATAAGAGAATCACAATTTTCAGGTCCAATGTCTTGGGATCTCCATGGCCCAGAAGCAATGTTAAGCTGGGAATATCCCCCCTCTGGCAGTACGCAGTCCTTGTATTTAATCCAGATAATTTGTGAGATAGCATATATTAAACCTGGCACTGGCTTTTATTAGTCCCCAGTGCAATTCTAGGAAGGGATTCCACATTTCAAGGCAAAAAAGAAGCACTTCTACTGGCAGCAATTAACAAACGATGGATGTTTGAACCCTGATGTGCCACAGGCCAGCTCTTATTAGATGAGTTTCCAGGAAGGATGCAGAAGAAGCAGCCTAAGTGAATGTAGCCCGTCACGTGCCCCATGATTTACTACACGAATTCAACTTCACAAATGATGCTTTGGACCCCTCCCAGGGAGAAGTGCTCTGTATGATAATGTTACAGAGGCTTTTGCAGGTCCAGCCTGAGTCCTCCACTGAGCCCCACTGCAGTCAGTCTCTTTGCAGAATTACTAATAGCCCACAAATCACACATCACATTGCCTCGCTCACACACTGGTGAGCCCTAAGGACATATTTTGTCTAGCCTGCTCACTGCACACTGAGCATCCTTCGCAGCCATTCCACACTAGTGGTTTTTACATCTCAAAATACTGCTAGGAGCACAATTTCCCACTCAAGCTCCAGATGGGACCCAGGAGATGCCGAATGCGAGTGGCTGCTTAAAACAAAGTCACACATGGTCAGGAGGAATTCAGACGAGGAAATCCCCGCCTGCCTCCTGTGGCCAGCTATTCCAGCTACTACAACAAAGGTGTTTGGACATTAGCTCTGGCTTCCGCTTGCAAATATTCCAACATTTGCATCTTGCCTGTTCTACTGCAGAGTCAGGCAAGACCTAGGACTCAGAAATATGCAGAGGGCCTGAAAACCAAAAGCCTCTGCCTCCCTCCATCAAGCAGGCACATGTGCTGAGCACTCTGCTAGCCAGAGAGAACATCATCATTTTTTGCTGGGCAGCAGGAACATGCTGGTGAATTAACCATGCCCTCAATTCTATAGGGAACAGTAAGTAATTTATGCCCTAAGGAGCAGGGGGTTGCTGCATGCAGGGAGAAGAGGGAACAGGGCTGTGCATTCAGGTCACATTCAATGGGGGCTGTCAGATCTCTTCTATCTAAACCACTTCATCACACTATTATTATTTACCAGGGCCTGTTTGTGCTTGGAGGGTTTACCAAAGGAAAGAGAAGAGGTCCGAGCCCTATGGTGCTCACCCCGTGGCAGCAGGACCACCAAAGCCCAGCGGATCTGGAGGTGCCCCGAACTCCCTCCACCAGGCAGAGGTGCAGGGGGCTGCAGAGATCCTTGGGCTCAGGGGCTGGAGGCTGCGGGGAAGGTGAGACTTGCGGAGGACCTTGGGGAGCAAGGGGCATCGCTGCACAGATGCAGAGAGATTGATCCAGGCGCACAGCCAGTGAGGCAGAGGACAGCTGTTGGGAAAATCTGGGCAGCAACAGGAGTTGAAGGGAAGAGCAGTGAAGGGGGATGAGGTTTGAAGGTCAAGATTCAAGAGCCCTCTGGTCTCACAGGGGCTGAGAGAAGCAGAGCCTTGCTGTGTTGAGGCACCAACGCTCGAGCACTACCTGATGGTCCTGGTGGCAGCCACAGCCCCGGAGCAAACGGAGCAAGCAGCAACCTGCCCCATGCAGCCCACAGCGAGGAGCTGGCTCCCTGCAGAGGACCCAGCAGAGCCCAGAGCCTGTCTAGGGGCAGCTACCTTCGTGGCTAAAGCCAGGACAGGAGGGACGTCTCCTCCCTGGCAGCCCTCAGCTTCCCCCCAGGCTGGAGCAATTCCACTGTCGTGTGTGCAAGAAGCAGCAGGACAGCCGGCGGTGCTCAGACACACCTCAGGAACAGGATGCAGCCTTTCAGAAGCACCTTTAGATATCACCTCTGGGCAGTCATCTGAGAGGGAACGCTGCTTTTTGGGCTGTATTTTTGACGGATGACTGCCCTTGGCAGCCCAAGGGCACCAGCACAGTCGCCTGGGGGCAGCCAAGCCCCAAACATCTATAGGTATCACCCTTCACCTCCGTTTCTATTGCTCTCATCTGCTGGGGCAAAGGTAGGAATTGCAAAACACGATGATTTTCCAAAAATTCCAACCAAAAGAAAAGCTGTAATCACATGTAAATGGGGAGGTTCGTTAGCTCGCTTCCGAGGGCTGAGCCTGGCCCTGCGACATTTCCCCAAGGACTGCAGTCAGGGCTGGCACACAGGAAGCGAGCGGGGACACTCTGAACTGAAAGTTCAAGATATTCTTTCTAGAGCTGAAATCCCAAATCTTTGCAAGAGCTTCACATCCTCCACAGAGCCAGCACAGGGGCAGCCCACAGAGGTCGGGAATTACATACCTCCTCCAGACAAAGTACACGTGCTGGAGACATCCCAGTCCAACGACAACCGGATTGTGCCCACAAACAAACCCATTTCCATCTTAAGGAGCAGCAGGACTCAAACAGGAGCCTCCAGAGCTGACAAAACCCAAATGTAACGCACAGAGCTGGTCTCCGCAGGGGGGTGGTGTGCCCCATGTGTCATGCAGTGAGGGATGCACAGGGTAGGGTGACTATTTGTGACACTGGACTAGTGCATGAGAAGCAAAGTACTAACTTAACTCCTTTATTTCTGCAACTTTCCCTGACTGGATCAGAGTGAAAAGTCAATCTGCCTTTTAATATCCTTTGCTTCGTACCGTCTAAGGTATAATCGTAACACTCAAAAGGAAATGGCTCTGGAGATAAGAGAAATTCAGTCTTTACATCCTTTTAAAAGCTCTCAGGGGCAGAGGCCAAGCGGGGCGATGCCCAACAGAAGCATCTAAACAGGGTGGACACACTGGGCTGCTTGTAGCCTGGCTACATCTGCTTTGATATATATTTTTTTAAAGGGTGTTAAACCACGGAGAAGGCTGTGTGTTTACAGCTATGAAAGCAGCTGCTCAGTGGCAGGACCCCACAGCGCTGGGTGCTAGCTGTAAAGATGCAGGTACCAGCTCAGGGACTCCGAGGAGTGGTGCGATGCTGCCGTGGCAGCGGGGTCGGCTGCGGGATGCCCGGGCGCCAACAGGCTCCTGCTGCCGGGGGGGAGCGGGTTTGCACTGAGCTAATGAATTAATTTTACAGGAGCGAGCCCAGGTCCTGCCAGCGTGGCACAGACGGCGAGCCCGCGCTCACCACCGCTCACCCTGATAAGCACCGACACTCTCATCTGCTTTGCCCCAGACTTCCCTGCCCTTCACACAGACACTGCTTTTCCCAATGCCGGGGCTGCCTCCTGCACCAACCCAGAGTCCAACACGGAGCTGCCAAAAACATCACCTCCCAAAGCACCTGAGACAACACAGCTCCTCCACAGCAACCTGTGGGCATTTCTGAGGTGGAGGCGGGACAGAAACCTGCTCCTCAGGCT